TCTAGTACATGTAGTTACTATCTATAGAGTATAACAACAAACCTGTAAAGTTCACCCTCCACGATGGTCCTCCCACACTGACAGTCTAGTACATGTAGTTACTATCTATAGAGTATAACAACAAACCTGTAAAGTTCACCCTCCACGATGGTCCTCCCACACTGACAGTCTAGTACATGTAGTTACTATCTATAGAGTATAACAACAAACCTGTAAAGTTAACCTTCCACGATGGTCCTCCCACACTGACAGTCTAGTACATGTAGTTACTATCTATAGAGTATAACAACAAACCTGTAAAGTTCACCCTCCACGATGGTCCTCCCACACCGACAGTCTAGTACATGTAGTTACTATCTATAGAGTATAACAACAAACCTGTAAAGTTCACCCTCCACGATGGTCCTCCCACACTGACCATAAGCATTGTTTCCCATACTGTACACTGTAAATTAAAAGAAACTTTTTTCACATTGATCACAAGTCTCAACAGCCTATAGGGTTTTTTTTCAACTAAGTTGCTGAATTTCTTTTGTGCATTTGAATTTTAATGGTTTTACAAATTTCTCATAATTAAACTCTATGCCCTACAGATTATTCACTAACTAAAATGAAACAAAATGCACCCACAAAAAAAGGCAATAAATATTTAGCTTATTTAATTGTAAAGCCTACAGCTCTCTCAACCTTAGTTTGAAATAAGATATATGCAAAAATACTAACACAAATCAATATAAACAAGAAGGAGTAAAACTTGAAATGGCAATAGTTATAATTTTATTGCATGGAATTCAACAGAATAACCAAAGTTGAACAATGTTTAATAAAAGAAATTTAGACACTGTTTTTATGTTTGACTTCAAGAACAATTAATTTTCTTCAAGCCAAGCCACACAGGACCTCAACAATAGTTTGAGTTATCAGAGTGTCTGAGTTATCAGGGTGTTTTACCTTGTTTTGAAATCTTGGACAATGTTACTGATGTTAAGCTGTAAACATTCACCATTAAATATATATACTGTATTCAGGGTTAGAAATTAATTCTGAATACCATTAGTCAATAGGGGTGGCAGTTTCCATTTTTTTTCTGCTCTATGTGCAATTTCCACTTACCCAAAAATATTCAACAGGACAAACAATATCAAATTTTGCCAGCCAATCGAGTTGGCGGTTTTTAGAACTACTAGTCCTGCTAGAGATTTCACTAGTCTCAGTTTATCTACCCTTATTGTCTAGCCCTGTGTGTTGTAGCTAAGCCAAATGTGTCTGTTTCAATGACTTGTTTATGCATTGTAATGTTGTGGGGTTTTTATTCAACTTTTATTGAGTAAAATATTAAAACACAACTCCAGTGTTACAGACAAGAGTTTCATATTTTAATTGGTAAAATTCACAGAACATCTTGTAGCTTTTGGGCTGTTCACAGTCCCCACTAAATAAATAAACAATTATATAATGTTGGACTTTAGGAAAGAACATCTTAAGAATTATTCTTGGCAAGAACCAAATTCTCAGTTTGTCTTAGGAGGGGTATTCAACTTATCTGTGTTCAACTTTTATGGGTTTCTGTTGAGAAACAGAGGGACCATACTTGCCAACTCTCCCTATTTAGGAGGGAGCCTCCCAATTTTGGACCCTTAAATTTTCAGTATTTTCAACCATTGAAGTTGCTACACTATTCTTATAGTCCAAGATCAATGACTCCATCTGACAGAACAACTCTAAATATGTCATTTTAAAGGGTAAGTTTGTCTCCAGAGGGTGTATATTCACATTTTATTTTTGTTTTGATTTTGAGTATGCAGAATCTCCCCATGGGAAATTTCAAAAAATTGGCAGGTAGGAGGAACAGTATGCCTGTCTAAGGTGAGAAGGGTCTTGTAAACAACCCTGTATAAACTTATCAATGTTTCTAAAGGAAAATAGAGGAAACCAACGACCTGTTAATTGTTGAAGCTAGGATGGTATTTCCATTTCAATAGATTTTATTGACTTTGTATAAGTCACTTGGATTGGCCATTGAACTCCTTTCAAAATAATTTCCAAACATTACATACATACTGTCATTACAAACCAAATTAACAGTGCAGGGGAGGTAACTCCAATTTAGTTTGTGATTTTTTTTTTAACTATGCAGTATTCGATCATATTCTCTGTATGTTTTCGATATTATCTATTACATGAATCATGTATATTTGTTCACAAGACATCCTACATAAAACCCATGGGATACAGGCCCAAAGTTTTAGGTGTAGGATGGTATTTGATACATCATGTGTGACTTATTCAGGTTTCTATAGGGAAATTGAGTCATTGTTTGATGTGTTCTAAACAGGAAAGTTTGGTTTGGTTTGTTTGTGTTCTACGTCCTATTAACAGCTATGGTCATTTAAGAACGTGCCAGGTTTTTGGTGGCAGACAAAAGCCGGAGTTCCCAGAGAAAAACCATTGACCTACGGGCAGTACCTGGTGACTGCCCCACGTAGGTCTCGAACCCGCGACCCAGTGGTGGAGGGCTAGTGGTAGCAGAATGTCAGACGCCTAAACCACTTGGCCACCGCAGCCCCACAGGAAAGTAATTGACACATGGAATATGTCATAGCAAAATCAAATGTTCAGTGTGCACCACCTTGTGAATGAGATGAGAAGACTAATATTCCAGGGGTGCAGAGAGCAAAAGTGAGCATAACCCGTGGAGTATCAAGGATGCTGGCAGGACTTACCCCCTTCATTGTCTGTCAGTAAGATCGTGTGAGCACGTCCACATGCAACCTGTGTCACTTTGGTGGTTTCTGGGTTATCAAATGGAATATCAATCTTTATTGGTTCTATTATGTAGTCAAGTCCTTTTCCTGTAAAACAAGAATAATACAATATCAATTTAATTATTGTTAACCTGAAAATTATAACACATCATACTGGAAATGTGGATTGAAGTTTCTTCCCTTAAAAATTCTAATTTGTATAATGTGATATTTCTTAATCACCTCAGTAACAGTGCATGCATTCTTGTAAACTTTGTAAAAATATCAATTCAAACAGGAGACTTAATAAACATAAACATTTGACCTGTTTGTTAACCTTTTCTGTACTTTTTTAAGAACAAATTATCTTTAACCATAGCAAATATTTTTTTTAAATCCCAATGTCAAAACCTTCAATAATTTCAAAACACTTAAATCATACTCAAAAGTGAAAATTTGCATATCTCATCTTCAATAATGTAGGCATTCTGTGATATGTCTCTATGTGACAGAGTTATATAAGTTATGCAACAGTAATGGACATCTATTTATTCTTTTTTCTGAATAATACGTGACCTTATGTCAAATCAAAAATATCCATACAAATCATATTTGTGACATAAGGTCATATAAAGATGTCGGTTACCATGCCAACATTTTATGTGATAATGTCACAAAACTGTTCATTGGACTAAAAAAAAGGGACAAATTTCTCCGTCCGTCAATGTGATGTGACACTGTCATTTCAAGGGTTATAAGATTGTTGAGTTCCTATATTAAAAGTCTACCAATCAAGCAGGTTTTAGTCAAACTGTTCCCCTGTTTTTTCCAGGGGCAAGAAAAGATGTCTGCTCGCTGACACCAATACCTTTTTCATGGTGTAATCTGTGGAAGCCTATCTGAGAGTTGGTGTTGATCCCCGTTCCAAACACACGATGCTCTTTTCCTGTTTTTGTTAGAAATATCGTAAATCCATACCCACACGCTGCCCCTGTAACCTAGCAACCAAAAGTAAAAAAGCATATTTATATCAATGTATATATTATAGAAACAATAGGGTCTATACTTATAATGTTACATACTTTCAGACTATAGAAACAATAGGGTCTATACTTATAATGTTACATACTGTCAGACTATAGAAACAATAGGGTCTATACTTATAATGTTACATACTTTCAGACTATAGAAACAATAGGGTCTATACTTATAATGTTACATACTGTCAGACTATAGAAACAATAGGGTCTATACTTATAATGTTACATACTGTCGGACTATAGAAACGATAGGGATTACTTATAATGTTACATACTAACAAAGATCCACTACACACAGACACAGTAGTGTATATATTGTATACAGGAATCGACCTATTCATTTCCTGTCAGGTATTTATTATTTGATTCATATTCGTACAAAGAAAATTAAAGGCAGCAGGCCTTTTTAGGGAAAAAGAAAACTATTCAGTCTTGTTGTAAACAAATATAATGACGGGATATCACAGTACAGTGGGTGAGTTCCCTTCGTTGTAATTAGCAGGCCTGGAATTGTTTTTGTGCAAAATTTAAATAGTAATTTTCTTTTGTATGTAACCATTTGTTATAGAAAATTGGCAAAGAACTCCCAGTCAGTAAAACTGCTGAGCCATAGGAACTCTCTTTTATTGGAGATATAACCTAATATGGTTTCCAATACAGTTTTGGTATCAGTTGTAATTTTATTTCTTACAACATCGATTAAAACTGAGATAAAAACAAGACATATTAGTCACCAATACCCCCGTTCTTCTCTGTTGAAGTGAATCCCCAAATTTTCGTAATTATGGACTTGTTTTAAAGATAACCTTAAAAAATTACTGATTTAGAAAAAAGGAATCTGTTTGCAGTTTAATTGACTATATGACAAGTTTGAAGCTTGAAATCAGAAAGTTATAAATGCAAAAAGGGACCTGTTTGCAATGTGACTGATTTAGGTTGGAAGTCTGAAGAATGTCAATCTGTAACGCACTGTTTCAATAACTAAATGCAACTTGTGCACAAACAGAGACAGATGAAGACGGAACCCGTCTGTTCATCCAGCATCTACTTAATTTGACCGAGGACAAAAATGCCAAATGTATGTATTTTTTATAACAACATTATTTATGACACAGAGAAGCAACAGATAACTACTTTTAAGTTTAACAAACATTTTTTACTTTTTTGAAATATGTTTTTTTTAACAAATCAATTATCTGTACCATTTGTAAATCATACAGGAAATGTGACATTATAGCCCGATGAGGTTACATCAAGAGCTGAACCTTCACGAGACAAGATAATTAAAGATATAAACTGTATAGTATCTATATTTACATACATTTGTTTTGTAATTTGTTCAATTTTTTTAAAGGAAGGGAGATAACTGTTACCGTTATCCAATTTTTTTCATTATACCTTAATGCCATGATCATCAAAGAATTTCATTCGAGCTGGTCTTCGCATGCATAGCATCATGTTCTGCCCTTTGCCTGGTTTAAGATATGAAGATATCCCTGAAATATAGTATGAAATGTTTACATAATGTTCTGTCCTTTGCCTGGTTTAAGATATGAAGATATCCCTGAAATATAGTATGAAATGTTTACAGCATGCTAGTTTTAATGTTAGAGGCCATATATAGGGTCCTTTTCAAAATCAATGAAGTACTTTTGCATCGTTTGATTGGAGAAGTTGATAAATAGTGGGACCTATCAAATTCTATGCTATGAAAGGATTTGAGGACAACATAAATGTAAACCCATCTGAATGAATATCCAGTAACATCACTGACAATTAGCCATCAAGACGATTCANCCCCCCCCCCCCCCCCCCCCTTAAAACATAGTATATTACTTGAAATGTGAGAGGTTACAGAAAATACCTCTTGTAACCCTTAATGTTTGAACTTGTTCTGATTGTTCGAAGTCAAGTTAAATTCAAAGGCTACCATTTTATATATTTTATATATTTAGAACAGGTTCAACAATATTTATAATAATAATAATAATTGGAGGTTCTCATATACCGCTTTATCACATCCTAGTTCGTAGGTCGTCTCAAAGCGGTTCACAAATTATTATCCGTGGTTATAGGGCCTTTGCAACCAGCCAATACATTTCTCAACATCCCCACAGGAGCATACAGCCGGTCCGCTGCCATTTCGGCGCTAACAGCTAGCATTCAACAATTCTAGCACTGCCCAACCACATACTTATTTACAGCTGAGTAGACTGGAACAAGCGGAGTTAAGTATCTTGCTCAAAGATACAACACATTGCTGTGCCGTGGCGGGAACCTGCAACCCTTCGGTCACGAGTCCAGTGTCCTACCACTGGAATACTGTGCCTCTGTGCTTAAACATTGAAAATATTTTTTCCTTCAAATCTGTAAAACTTAAAATTATAATCCTTGAAAATTTATTTTTCTAATTTTTGGTCCAAATTACGAAAAAAATAATTCTGCCTAAATAACCTGTTATATGGTATATTGGAGGGAAAGCCCTGAGACTTTCCAGCAGGAGGCAGTAGTCCTCCCACCATCTGGTTTGTACCTAACTCCCTAACCAGTCACTTCTTGTCTTGATGATTATCAACTAGAAGACAATTTGATGCTCATTTCTGTTTGTCCTGTGATCTGTTCACTATACAGAGTTTGTGACTGTTTACTTATATATATAATTAACTTACCAAGAGACCCTGTAGTTGCACATCCCCAAACATACAGTCTTTCTGTAGGCTTGGCATTTTCTCTCACATATTGAAACACTTGTTTTTTCCTTTGTTCATTGATCTCTAGTTTTTTCTTCCATTTTTGCATGTTTCGTTTCTGCATGTAGAACAGGTCTTCTAGCATCGATGATGTTTGGAGAAAACATCTCCTACATAGCATGGTGGAACCTTTTTGAAAAATAAGACAAACAAATTTTATTTTGCTAAATACATGCATTTCCATATTAATTGCTTTCTATTGAATTTTTAATTGTAACTTAAGTACTAACAAAAGTAGCTGGATATCTTCAGAAAGTTTTACAGTCATAAAATTCCTATAAAAACTATTTGACTAGACTTCCATTTATATATATGTGCAAGAGGAAAACCAGTAGCATGCGTCGACCAGTTTAGCTACCACAGATCAACACCACCAGGTATGGAAAAAAGGTCTTTCCGTTTTGAGGGCATGTGGAACAGCCAAAAAGTAGTATGCACATGTACATCCGACATGACAATTGTAATTTATTAGTTCTAGATATATAAGTGAAAAAAATTGTCTTTTTCTGAGTTTAAAATTTTGGGCAACACCCAAAATTAATTCCTGGTTCCTCCCCCTGGTCTGTCACTCTACAGATTGAGCTAAAGGGAAATTCCCTCTAGTGCAAAGCTAGAGGCGACCGTCTACCACATATGTATTTTGACCATAACCTTCATGTATGGAAGCCCAATATTTATACTGTCATTTACTTCCTCTCCTCTTTCTCTTCCTGATCTTATCTTTAGAGAATTTGACTTGCCTTGGTTAACTTGTCAACAACAGATGACAATTGGGAGTTGCACAACAGGTGCCCGGGTTTCGTCGTCAGAAGTTACGTTATAAAACTAGAGTAGGGGTGCATTCTTGCGCGATCTCCATTACGCCATCAATTTTAACATAAAAAAGGTTTCCAGAACGGAAGGCGACAGTATGATAGGGACTGCGTACAAATAAATGTTCTGAGCATATGTCGTTCGATATATTGTTTCACCGATAAAAAGCTTACGTCAGCTTCAAAAAGGTTTCCATTGACAAAAGAACAAATCGATATTGTTACATAACTGTTTCAGAAAATTACGTTAATTGATCAATGAAAAGAAACTAAATACTTACTTTTTATCATATGTCCCTTCGTATGAAATGACAATATTGTTTATGAGAGAACGGCTAACAAATGTCTTTGAAAAGGATTGGAATCGTGTTCCCAATGGGCGCCGCCATCTTTGTTGTGACTAATATCTGAACCGATGTCAACATTTCCGAGTTTTTGTGAAAAACGATGTAATACAAATCAAAGGCAGTATGGTGTAGACCACAGGGGCATGACTTGTTTTATCTTAAATAACATTTTTTTTTATATTACAAATGAAGCGATTCACATCAATTGGAAGATATTTTGTTGTATATAATGTACATTTTTTAATATGCTTGACCATATGGGAGACAAGTCTTTGACTCAATATGTAATCAAGTTTAACTAAAGACTATGATTATTTTTATATTGCTGATGGATTTGTAGAAGTGGAATATAGCTAAATCGCTCTTCTCTGCGGAACATGTTTGTGTGTAAAATACTCAAAATAAGACCATGCTTGTTTTACTCACCTCGGTATTGAGCAATCTATTCATAATATTCTCATTATAAGTAAAATTGCACATGTCTGCATGGGTTTCATTTCATAGCACCAAGGGGGGACAACACCAATCCTTTAAAAAGCATTTGATACCTCATTTAAGGTTGAAAGATGATCACCTGGTCAGAAGGAAAACGCTTTCAAAATCTTATTTTGCCTATATAAACGGCATGCCCCTCAGCCCCATGAGCAGCTGTGAGTGAACACTACCAAATACAAGGAACAAGCAATTTGTTGAGATCCATTGATACAGGGCCTTGGTTTATAATGACACTGAGACTAAATCCCCTGGGGTGGGGTCAGACCTATGTGCTAATCCTGGTAGCATCATTATGGTCATGCACAGCAGTTTTGTACTGATAGGTTGGGGATCTCAACCAGTTTGAAGTTAAGTGCCCCATCATGACTGTTGGTCCTGTATTATACATAGGATTAGATCCTGGTCACGGACACCATTTGTAACAGGAAAGAGAATAGTGTGCTTCCACCGGGGATCGAACCCTCGATCTCCGGGTTCCTAGTCGGACGCTCTACCACTGAGCTAAAGGGAAATTCCCTCTAGCTCGAAGCTACAATGAATCCTGCCACAGTCCCAAGGTGTCGACTGGGCAATAGAGCAGAAATGGTAGCACAAGTGTATTCACCTCTTCACATTCATCCATTGCATACATCAGGGGTGGGTCCAGGTGAGGGCGTAATGGGCGTATGCCCCGCCCCACCCTTTTAAAAAAAAAAAACCCACTTAAAAAAAAACCACTTTAATTTTTTTTTTAATTTGATGCTAAATTGTTGAAATCCAGGAGCTTCTGAGCTTCCCCATGGACCCTCTACCAGGGCAACTGTAATTACGCCTCCCGTTCATAAAATCCTGGCCTAGGACTACTGAAATGTTAAGTAACGCCTTATACCCTAGAATTTAGAATTTCTCGTTATTGGTCTACTGCTGTTAAGATCCATCCAATCATTTCAATATACCATAGACAATTAATGGAGAGAATTTGGCATAAAAAATGTCAAACCCTGACACTTTAACTATAAAATATACATGCTCCAAGTCAGGAACCGTTACATTAGTGCATTTCTACGCCCCCTCTTTCAAATATCCTAGAAACGCCCCTGTACATGATAATGGGATCTCAACTGTTTCCATCTTATGAGTCAGTGACTGAACAAGACAGTACTGGGACATTTCTGGTGGTATAAATTGATTTAGTGTTTTGTCTTGTCATGCCTCACTAATTTAAACAAGCTTGACACTTTCTAAACATATTCTTCAGGATGGTAAGTATGGATTATGAAAAGTTGTTTTTACACAACCAATAATTTAGCCCCACAAGACGCTTTGCAATATCCTAGTACACCCTAAGGATAAAACACCTAAAGAAAACGTCGCAAAATCTGTATACAAAATCGGGTGCAAAAACTGACGTGTCGTATATTGGAGAGACTGGAAGGCGTTTTGGGGTCCGCCTTTGTGAACACCGGAAAGTTTCAGAATCCCAATAAGGTAGGAAATTCACCAGATCAGAAAGGAAGTAGTCAAGAGTCCCAGATAAATAAATCGGCAATCACAGAAAAATCATGTGATTGACTGGGAACACTCTAAAGTTTTGGACAGAGAGAGCAATCTGTTCAAGCGGCATGCAGTTAAAGGAAGCCATCTGGATACGCCGCAGTGGGCCAGTTCTAAATAGAGACGAGGGGCCCACAAAGACTCTCGCACATCTATGACCAAGTATTTAACAAAGCGTGGCTGAATCGAGTTATTTCGGTACATATATAACAACTATTGTACATACGCTTACAGCGTAGCTGAAATCGACATCGATTTTGTGGACAACTCGTACACATTTTACACCTTTGTGTGCATACACTTCACTGGTCTTTTGTCTGATGAAGGTGACAGTGTACATATCGTACTAGTCATCGAAACGCCACATAGAACAAGAGGCCATATGGGCCTGCATCGCTCACCTGGTATTAATCTCACACTTGTAATCTTAAAAGTGGACTAAAATACAGCTACAGACAGAATATCAGTGTGACCTTGAATGACAAACAATGACATTAGGTTGAAAGTGGGTCAAGGTCATTCATTTGAACAAATTTGGTAGCCCTGATTGCTACAGGCCAAATATCAGTACCCTGGGCCTTTAGGTTATTGAGAAGAAGTTGTTTGAAGATTTTAAGACATTTGACATCTGTGACCTTGAAAGTTGGTCAAGGTCATTCATTTGAACAAACTTAGTAGCCCTTCATCCCAGCATGCTAGTGGCAAAATATCATCACCCTGGGCATTTTGGTTATTCAGAAGAAGTTGTTTAAAGGTTTTAAATATATTTGACCCCTGTGACCTTGAAAAAGGATGAAGGTCATTTATTTGAACAACTTGGTAGCCATTCATCCCAGCATGCTACTGGCCAAGTATCATCACCTTAGGCCTCTTGGTTATTCAGAAGTTGTTTAAATGTTTTGAACATATTTGACCCCTGTGACCTAGAATATAAGTCACGGTCATGTATTTGAACAAACTTGGTAGCCCTTTATCCCAGCATGTTACTGGCCAAATATCATAACCCTAGGCCTATTGGTTATTCAGAAGTTGTTGAAAGGTTTTAAACATATTTGACCCATGTGACCTTGAATATAAGTCAAGGTCATTTATTTGAACAAACCTGGTAGCCATTTATCCCAGCATGTTACTGGCCAAATGTATGTACCCAAGGCCTATTGGTTATGCAGAAGAAGTTGTTTAAATATTTTAAACATATTTGACCCCTGTGACCTAGAATATAACTCAAGGTCATGTATTTGAACAAACTTGGTAGCCCTTCATCCCAGCATGTTGCTGGCCAAATATCATCACCCTAGGCCTCTTGGTTATTCAGAAGAAGTTGTTTAAAGAATTTAACATATTTGACCCCTGTGACCTTGAAAATGGGTGAAGGTCATTTATTTGAACAAACTTGGTAGTCCTTCATCCCAGCATGCTTCTGGCCAAATATCATCACCCTAGGCCTATTGGTTACTGATAAGTTGTTTAAAGTTAAATGTTGACGACGGACGGACGACTGACGGATGACGCACCATGCCATAAGCTCACTTGGCCCTTTGGGCCAGGTGAGCTTAAAAACTATTGGTTGTGTAAAAAGAACTTTTCATAATAAGCTTGATACTTGTACATGTAGCAAGCATGCTTAGATTAGTGGTCAAATATCATTGCTCTAGACCTTTTAGATGTTTTTTTTTTTTTGAAGATTGTCTTTTTATCTTTCTTTCAACAAACTCTATACACTAGCAACTCAGGTCTTCTTCCGCTCTCAGTCTGTCTCCTCCAAACTCACATGGATGTTTCTGCTTCCCTGCTTGCTGTCCACAGACCAGATGACCGACTCGGCTTTGTCAAAAAAGCTCAGGGTAAATTGATATTTTCAAAACGGTAGCCAGTCCAAACGCATTTTCATGGTTTTTGAGCTTATTCCCCGTAGTACAATGTAGTTGGAATGAGAGAACTACTCTTCCAAGTCCAAGAGTGTAGGATAGGAGAATTCCATCCTCAGGATTTTCAAATTTGCAAACGCTAGCAGGTTAACAAGGGCCTTGCCATGCACCTGATTATAACACATACACCGCCGCCTTTTTTTTGTATGTTTACCAAATTAACTTAAGGTAAGTTTTTGGTTTCCAATGATAAGGACTGTGGCCTATATCTAGTAAATGACCTTGAACTTGACCTTAGAAACTATTTACACCGTTACTGCACATTTACATGTCACAGTGTATCACCATGTTGAATTTCAAAAAGTTGAGTATTTTGGATTGCGAGATAATCTCCAGAAAGTAACTGTGGACAGACAGAAAGGGCAGAGATTACTGTAGGGCACCCCATCTCGGATGAGTGGCCCTAAATATCACAAAATGTGTTGGTAATAGGGTTTTAGAGTACATTACTGAGTATGTTTATCATAGCAATATATGTCTGTGTGTCATTTCATCACTTACTTGTAATACTTATTTTTCTCAGTCCCCCTCTTCAAATTTTGATAATATATCTTTCGCAATAGTTTTCGCACCATATCCCAATTATCATCTTGGGACGAATCAGTCATTTTCTCCCCTGCTCCAGCGTATTTATTATTTAATCTCTTTGTCGTTTTCACAAACACGGTATCATTGGTCAACAATGCAGTCACACTAAATTCTGCCTTCGACTTATGCTTCAAATATTAGCTATATCCTATTATATTTCTAAACAATTGCTTATGCAATGTAATTGTTTTGTGTTTTTTCGATATCTCCATAAAGGAGCGGATTGCTCTGATAATTTGACATCATTCTTCCTACAGTGTTAGCACTACTTCCTTGCCCATATACCAGTTTGAAGTCATTTGTATCCTACAAACATACGTATATATTTAGGAAGTTACAGTTGATATTACTTCATGTTTCATAGTTCATGTAGATTATACTTACCACAAATCCACCGTTTATTTCTAGTGGTAAGTCTCAGTGTATATATGTATGAAATAATAACACCACTCAATTTTGTATATAGATAAAGCTAACAATATTTTATGTATAAATCTTGACAATGTTTTCAATATCACAGACATATAACTTAATTCTCACATCAATAGCATTAAGAGTTATATCAATTAGAGATAGTTCAGTGAAAAATCTACTCAACCCAAGGACTCCAAAAAAAAACAACACTTCCACAGTTGACTTTCCTGCCTATTACTTCTTCACAAACAGTTAATTGAATGCTATGGGTTGTACCCCTAAACACAATCTTGAGTCCTGGGGTGGAGTAGATGTTTTACCTGGATAGTCCTTCCAAAATACGAAGCAGCCTATTCATAAATAGATCAACTTCATTCTCAAAAAAACAAAATCACAAAGGCAATAGTCCTGTTCCTTTCATACAGTATCAACAATATTTCATGTAAAACCGATCTTTAACCAGAAGATTCCAAAGGTTTTCTTCCATGAATGGGACCACGAGGAATGGCAGCATGATCCTAGCCTCCCCAATAGGTGTATATATACCTGTGATTTTGCATCCTCAATAATTAAGTTACTAATTTAGTGGTCAGAAAAAAGAAACAATAAAAACAGAGAAATGTCACAGTAACTATAAGATTTTTTTGGATGGAGACCACAATGGCTTACCTACAGTGACATCATCGACGTCACCATATATATACTTGTACACACATGATAAAGTCTTTTATCATAATTTTCAACTTCCATCAAATTATAAGCACATTTTGTTCAAAGACATCTTAACACAAATAGCACAATAAGATGACTTCATTGCCAGCCATCACGAATACAACAGAGAACAGAATGTTACCCTGGTCATCTGACTATATCAAAATTATACAAGGTCAAAATACAATTGCACATGATTTAGCCAATCAAACAACATACATGCATATTGCAGCAACCAATCAGACAACATATGTACAATGTTGTAGCCAATCACACAACAGATGTACACAACGGCAACCAATCAAATGACAAGATTATATATTAGCAGAGCCAATCAAACTTTAGATATACATCACATGTGTTATACCAATGAAGTCCAGCAACAAATATCTGTGGACAATGTGATGAGACAGTTATACAATGTCATGATCATCACTAAATAAGTCAATCAAAATAATGACCATGTTCAAAATATGGGGCAAAAATTTGCTATTTTACAGTAATTTCAATATCCTACCATGGTGCACAGAGTAGCCCTATAAGAAACACATCAATTCATTACCCTGTATAAGTGTGAAGCTTCCTAAGAACTTGTCACCTCCTCCGACATCAAACTGTTCAAAACCAGAAGAAACATGCCATGCTACCCACTGACAGTCTGGAAATGATGCCCTCTGCAATATAATCCCTAGCAAGGAAATGCTTTATAAGGAATAATTACCAGCAAGGAAATGCTTTATAAGAAATATTGTTTAGGCTTTATATATATATATAATGATTAACTACATGTAGATAAGTTATTTCACAAATTATTGAATTAATCTGGAGAAAGTTTTTTGGAAACTAATTTTCCTTTATTTGACTACTGAGGACTGCACTGTAGTAAACAAACATTAATGGACCAAATGTTCCCTCACATATATATACAGCCCGCAAAGGAATCTCACACACAGAGCAATGCCAAAACAAATTATTTTTCAATCATGTATATATGGATATCAAATTTCAAAAGTGTTGTCCCGATAATAACTGCTCCTATTTTGGGACTACAATATATTGTGTTTGATTGCTTAATAATGGAAAAGTTTGACCAAGAGCTTTAATAGAATTTTAACTCAAACACCCCTGAAATTTCATAATGAGCTATTCCAACCTTTGAAGTGGAAGAGTTCAAATGTGTCTACAGGGGTGAATGAGTTAAGGCCATACAATATATCAGTACAATACTGAGAGCAGTACTAACTCCATATAAGTATAGTAAATATTGGCTTTAGCTAGGTTCCAATTAACCCTTTCATCCCTATGTAACTTTAGTAGACTCTACCATGCATTGATCTGGACAAGTCCATTATAGTCTATAGTGTTGAAGGGTTGATTCATAATTCTAAAATATAAATTGAAATAAACAAACGATACCAGTGAGTTTTTACTTGATGAATAACAATAAAAATGTGTAGGACTTGTTTAAATTATATATGGGATATTTAAAATATAAAAACATAAGTTTTCTGTTTCATACAAGATTTACGAAAAGAGTCTATAACTAAGAATTGTAAATTGTACCAAGCCCCTATTAAACAACTGTTTACTGACAATAGATTTAGTAAACAAGCTAAACAACCCTTGGTTGTCTCATTTACATGTACCTGATACATGATCAGGTGACAGATTTAATGTAAAATAATTAGTGTAACCACGGACTTAGATAACCTAATCTAATCTAATTCCGTGGTGTAACAACTGTTGGCTGTAATAAAAAAAGAACATCATAACAGTTGTTAAATTATCTAAGACATGTGATTACTTTTTAACATTTTGAGTAGAAAGACCAAGAATTATCTGTTTAGCATTTAGTGTCCTCAAAACAGCTATACTGTCTTTGCGTATTGCAGACTTATCTTCTCTTTAGAGCAGGTATTGATTGTTATGTCATTTGTTTGTGAGAGTAACGTCATCAATTTTTGAGAAAACAATGTAATTTTCTCACACAAACCAATGACGTGACAATCAATACCTGCTCACAAGAGAAGATAACTCTGCAATACGCAAAGACGGAATAGGGTCTACTACCATATGAAGACAAGAACGGACCAAGATTACCAAAGATTGGATAGATTGCTGTTAAACCTGATTGGAACTTGAACTGAAGAAAAGCTTTAAGAAGAATTGATATCAAAGAAATCAATGAACAAATTATGTTTTACATGAGACACACAAACTATTTCATTTATACAACACATAACAGGCAGAAAATATATTAAATATCTATTCTGTACACTTCATCTGATGAAGCAAATATTCAACATAATACACAAAACAAAAACACTGTACATTGCTGATAAAAAGGTTATTCTTCGACTCTTCCTTGACTACAAAATTTCAGCGAGGAGAAAAAAAAGGAGGAAAAATGTTTCACCTATTTCAACAAACCATCAAAATAATCCATTTCATTTCTTGTAGATGATATGTCAACTCTGTGATTTTTTCTGGATGTATTTACATCAGCCTACTCCGAAACGTTTCTCGAAAATTCTTTAATTGGAATTATTTTCATTTGACACTTAATAAGGTATGGGTGGCATTTTACTAAATGACAGAACAACGTAGATAAATCAATGATGACTTACAATTCAACTTGAAAGGTCACATAAACCCATGACTGGTTGAATAAGCTGAGGCCGAAAACACTCGCCACATAAGTGTTGTACCGTCAGGTAATCTACTCTTGTCAAAGCCATAATTTCATTAAGATTTTGACAAATTCACCATGAACTTTTTTCGCTTCAAAAACGAAAGGATGAAGCATGTTCACAATCAAACTCGCACCTTTAAAATAGTGATTTATTTTAAAGGAACGGATTCAGAATTACAATCCTTAAGATCTAAAGGTGGTGAGATGCGTCCATTTTCACGTGCTAGTTCACAACTGAGTCGTCTAAGACGGGCTCCATCCATCCGTGGCACCTTGTTAAACATATAGTCCTCTTGACTTTGGCTTTTACAAAGACTCCCGTCACTGGCACTCAAACATTCACTCATCAATGCAGATGTCGACATTGACTTCCTGTTTGTAGCCGAGATCAATTTCTTCGCTGATGAAGGTCGATCACTTTCAACCTCTGGCAGAGTATCTTCACTAGCCGTGTCTGCTAAAGGGGCGGAGTTTTCGATAAAAGAATCCGATAATTTGGTCCGGACCAAGTCCCTCGTACTATCCTTACTATAATACTTGACAAATTCCTCACTCAGTGTAGGTGACACTATGTCATCAGTCTGGAAGTTTTGAAGACTGACTTTCTCAGCAAAATGTACACCACATTGATCCGTGGATTTGTCACAATGGTTGCCGTTAAATCGTTTACATTTGCGACATTTGAAGGAATTGTTTTTGGTCTCCTCACCCCCAGCACACATGTTTGTACTACACCCCGAGGTCGGTGAACTTTGACCCGATGTGTTTCTGATCCTGTTTTCTGAAGCACTAAGACTGGTGCTGCCCCCACTGTTGTTGCGTCCCCTGGAGGATTGAGACACCACGTCAACTTGGACCTCATACGGTGATGTTGTAGTTATAGAGACACTGTCTTTGTCCCTGCATTGAAAGAGATTTAAAAAATAATATGTGGTTAATTCTTAATGGCATATCAGCAATATTACAAACAAACAAAATACAGTGAAATGGTATGTATATCTAAGACAGACAATGGACATAGAGAAGACTACTAGTATCAAAATCTACCTAACATCAAAATAACATATTGCATTATATTACTTACCTACCATTATATCAATCTATATATATCTATATTCATCTTCACAAATGTAAGTCTATAGACTAGAGGCCATTTAAGTGAAATGTTGTGCACAATGGACTAAAACTCAACTATTTGTCTTGATCTGCTGTCAATGACATTATCAGTTGTTGACGATACAGAAATTTAATCAGCTGTTTTGTCTGGTAAACAGCCTACTAACAGCTACATTTTTACATATTTTGTTCACGTAACATATAGTCAGTTCAATTAGTAAATTAAATACATTTGTTAAACACTTACAAGCAGAGTTAGTAATGTGATAATTATCCGCAGTGACAAGAAACCTACTGATTAGAAATATCCCATTAACCAAAATATCTATTATGTAACATGTTGTCTAGTCATGGTGTATCAGACTACTTTTCTGCCTTTTATGTCCTTTCTGTGAATTTTTATATAATGAATGCGTGTGCTGGATCTAATTAATTCCTGTACTTGTAACAAAAACATTGCAAAGTCCTTATATTACAGAGGTTCTATTTTTGCTATATTTGCATCCAAAATGCTGTTATTGACAATTAGCAGTTTCCCACAATTATTTTTACTCCTCCAGTTTTCCCCAGAAACAAAACTTACAATCACAGTGGTACAGGGTACATCTATGTAATATATCAGGAGGGCAAAGAACACCTTATAGCAGTAACCAGGTAACATATGGGGAGGGCAAAGAACATCTTATAGCAGTAACCAGGTAATATATGGGGAGGGCAAAGAACATCTTATAGCAGTAACCAGGTAACATATGGGGAGGGCAAAGAACATCTTATAGCAGTAACCAGGTAACATATGGGGAGGGCAAAGAACATCTTATAGCAGTAACCAGGTAACATATGGGGAGGGCAAAGAACATCTTATAGCAGTAACCAGGTAACATATGGGGAGGGCAAAGAACATCTTATAGCAGTAACCAGGTAACATATGGGGAGGGCAAAGAACATCTTATAGCAGTAACCAGGTAACATATGGGGAGGGCAAAGAACATCTTATAGCAGTAACCAGGTAACATATGGGGAGGGCAAAGAACATCTTATAGCAGTAACCAGGTAACATATGGGGAGGTTAGAGACTGTCCAGTACCTGTATCCAGGTAGCATATGGGGAGGGCAAAGAACATCTTATAGCAGTAACCAGGTAACATATGGGGAGGTTAGAGACTGTCCAGTACCTGTATCCAGGTAACATATGGGGAGGATAGAGAATGTCCAGTACCTGTATCCAGGTAACATATGGGGAGGATAGAGAATGTCCAGTACCTGTATCCAGGTAACATATGGGGAGGATAGAGAATGTCCAGTACCTGTATCCAGGTAACATATGGGGAGGATAGAGAATGTCCAGTACCTGTATCCAGGTAACATATGGGGAGGATAGAGAATGTCCAGTACCTGTATCCAGGTAACATATGGGGAGGATAGAGAATGTCCAGTACCTGTATCCAGTTATAGAGCCTGCCAGGGCCTTAGTGCTGGCATCGTCACTGAATGAAATGGTGGTGGATTTCTCCCCGATACTAAGGTTGGCAGACTCGCTACTGAAGCTGCTCCTCTTGGTCAATGGGGTGTTGTTCATTGATACCATATCGGCCTGGACCTCTAACCTGTTAGATAGAGTCACTTACATACAAAAACACATATCATACATGTATTCAACATAAAGTGTTTTATCATTTCCTGATGTGAAGAATTAAAACTTTTTACATTTTTGCCAACAAACCTGACATAAACCAGAGGTACGCAGAACTGAAAACATTCTGGAAACATTTTGGAAAAAGCTTTGCAAATCTTGATTTATGGAGACACAGCAAGTGATAAACAATAACGTTTTGAAACATTCAAGAAAGTTTTCAGATCTAAATGTACTCGTGAGCATAGGATAATGTTAAATTATTTAACCTTACTCCAATCAGGACATGGAATTAATCAACCTACCACTTAATCTCCTACCAACCTGCAGGACACCAGATCATATCATTTAACAAACAACTTTTTTTTATTCAATATCAGATTAATTTTCAATACTACATACATTTTAATGAATCACAGTTAATTACCTTGTTTGAAATTTTATTGAATGTAAACACCACTAATTCTTTCAACAAAAAAGTACAATGAATGTGCAGAAAACTTACTTGTTTTGAAAGCATCCTACGACATAAGATCCGCCACAAAGACTCCCGTTGAGACTGGAGCCTGCGAGGGCGCGGTTACTGGCCGAGTCCCTGTCACTCTCGTCTCTGATCACACCGACACGCTCCATGTGACTGCCACTGGCACTCAGACTGCCCGTCATACCCACAGACGCCTCACCAATACTAGGGGCTATACTAGGGTTGGCAACATTGTGGCCTGTGCCCACGCTCTGATTATCACCTGTGATCAGAAATGAAACATGTATGTTCCTTAAAGACAGACGACATATTTTAGCTACCCATTATGGGACCAAGATCGAGTATAATGAAATAATCAAATGTATGATAATGACATCCCATCATAAACCGGAGAAATTAATTAATAATCTGGTTTATTTGGTTGTTTTGTGTCAGCATCAAAATCAAACACCAAATTATACCCTATATTGAAAATTTGATCAATATAAAAAGACTACCTTTATATACATATAATAGATATTTGAATAATCCATTAGCTAACTTTCATGCCTTACTTACATGTCATCAACACTCAGATATTGATAATTGCTTCAGTATCTGTTCAGGCCGCAATTTGTTGTACTGATTGACATACAACTTAAGTATTTACAAAACAGGGCAACCCTCAAGGGTAAGATAGGGGAGCCTGGAGAACAGGGCAACCCTCAAGGGTAAGATAGGGGAGCCTGGAGAACCTGTTCAACTTTCATGCAGCAGAAATGAAACACTCATTTTTTTTAACAAAATGGTCTAAATCAAGACACATTACTTACCTGCATAAACACTAGGCTGACCCACAGTTTCGTTCTCATCAAATTCAAAACGGACACCCCCTTTGTTGGTTGTGGTCACCCCACAGCCCCCACTGCGACACAGCGAGATAGGTACGACACCGTACACATAGGCCAGTAGGATGGGCACCCCAATACCTGGGGTAAAGGTTACAGGTCAGTGACCACATACTGTTTATCATTTTATTGGTTCATTACGATATTTTTAAACATTTGCAACACATTGTAATTTAACACACATATTTTGTTGTACATTTTATGTCGACCGCATGTAAGATAAGTCCTTGACTCAATGTGTTATCGAAATTAAATAAAGTCTATTATAACACAATTACATTTTTTAATCCCTGAAGTCACACTTATCAAATCAAAGAGTGGGCAGGGTCCAGTTTAGATAAGTAGGGGTAAATGAGTTAATGCATTAACGCAACTACTTTTTTAATTCAAGTTTTCTGTATTTGAAACAGGTACTTTTTTTAATTCAAGTTTGCTGAATGATTTTGAATACAAAAGATAAAGGACAAGCAAACCTACACGACAGCTCCTAAAACTCCTCAATGCAGTTAACGTTTGTTAACTGAACCTGTACTAAAAGGACTTCATGCATAAAGAGATTACTTTGGGGACCTTTCTATGGTGGTCACTGAATACAGATTTTACTCATTCATCCCTGCATTTATAAACTGGACTTGCCCAGTCTTTGATTTGGTAAGGTTCAAATGTGATTTTAGGGGTGAATAGGTTAACTGTGACCAAAATTGTTTAAATCCTGAGAGTAAAGACATTGAAATGAGACCAGACAGTAATGCACAAACATTGATAATAAAATCCTTGCAAGGTATTTTCTGCAGGATAGATATGGTATTGGAGATGTAAAATAATATGAAACATCAGATGTAGGTTCCTAAATTTAAAATTTGAACAAATCATACTTAAGTCCTCATCTGACTGATAGACAAATCTTTTACAAAATTTGATCCAACAGAAAGAATATCCAGTAGGAAATGTAACATACCAACAGCCAGTCCAGCTATGACAGGCGACACCAGTATGGAGGCTGTTACACCGCCCGTTATCGCCAGATTACGCTTGTGACGGGAGCTGTGCTCATACTTTGAATGGAGCTGTAACCACACAAGAGAAGCAGTTGTTTATTAAAACATAATTAATCAATTGTATTTTCAATGTCAATATTATGTCAGTATTGGGAGGAAGTTGGTGTTTTCAACAAAATTCACTCAACACTATACTCAATTAATGACATAATCACCAGCAAATTTTTTGGCGAGTCACAAAGCCACTGAACTTTTCCTGGTTATTTTGATGATTTGTTCCTTGATTTTCTGTGTTTGTAACATATCAATGAGACCATTTTTTCCTGAAGATATCTGTCAGTTTTCTGACCTTTTTCTTTGACAAAAATATTTGTGGGTAGTTCCCTACTCAAGTGTATTCTCACCTTCCTGCCGACCCAGACTGGCAGTCCAATGACCATGGCGGGGACTGCTATCCCTGCTATCAGTGTTATTCCCACGGGAGCCCCTACTAGCGTTCCCAACTGCCACAGAATTTTCTTCTTCCGGCTCCAAGGCTTTTTACCCCAGAATGTACAGCCTGACGGACTGGGTAAAACGAATCAGAATGAAAACATCACTCAATCACTCATATAAGGAACAGGTGTCTGGTAGTTGTCATACAGCTTCAACAACATTTGTACTTTTTTTTACAGGTTCCACGTTCTAACAGCAGCTTACTACAGATGATGGGGCCTCTGAGGGACTATGATATTAACCGATTAAAATTATTGATCTAATTGCAAAATAAAAAATAAATTAAAATGTTTCGATCAATGTCAATTTAATTTCAACAAATTCTATTGACTTCATATATATGTCGATGGCATTGGACATCACATTAAGTCTGTTAAAGCAATCCAAATTGTTAATGTAGGGGAGACAACTCCATTTCAATTTGTGAAATAAGTCTGTTTTATCTATTCAATATTCAATCATTGTCTGATTTGATTACAGGGTAATATAATATAATACATTCAGACTGTAATAAAAATTCTGAACAAATATATGCATCTTACACACTATTGTAAATCATCACCAAAACTACTCCCATAACATGAGAGGCCGCTGGCCGGCCTTTTTTCTATCGGATATGATTTTGCCGACTACGCGGCGCCTGTTAAAAGTTTTTTGCCGTGTAAAACCTCTAACATTGTTGGAGTACACCAAAACATGACATTGCCACAGAAAGCATTTACAATCATATGTGAAATAATAGAACTACAAATATTACTGTAACATCTAATTTTTTTCGTAGGCACAACTTTTATATTTTTTGAAAATATTATTATAAAGGCTATACAGCTGAAGTGTTTAACTAGTGTTGAGAATTTAACAGTGCTTGATTAAAATAAGTGAAAAAAGATTAGAGTGGGTACTTAATGTAGAGAACATAGTCAAAACAGATATTTTCCCTAAGGGTGAACATTTTTACACTTTTAATATGTTCCACAAATCATGTGTTAATCTATGTCAACAAACACAACACTGCAGCAACATTATTGCTGTTGTAATCTATCACTAATAGACTGACAAGTCAAAAGGTGGAACTTTTCCCTTTAACAGTATACCAACCTTAGATAATGTAGATCAGAGATTTCCTTCATACATAGCCAACAGAACTCAGCACCACAGACGGGACAGGCCATGTGGTTACACGATCCGTCATTCATCTTCATAATGAAGGCACCACATCTCGGACATGGCTTTATATCGTCTTCTGCAGGAAAAACCACTCATTAATAATACATGAGTACCACAAATGAAGCATAAGAAAGGCAATGGCATCTTCAACTTAACTCATTCACCCCTGAGATTTCATGATGAACTATTCCAACCTTTGGTTTAAACATAACTTTATTGCCTTGAAAATGACAAAGAGGATTGGGCACAAGTTCTTACAACTTCATTAAGCCCTCTCCCAACTTAAATACATTTCACGTACATCATAGCTGTCTTAACATGTACATTTCATTTTTTTTTCATTTTTTCATTTTTTTNACTTAAATACATTTTACGTACATCATAGCTGTCTTAACATGTACATCTCATTTATATTTTTATTTTTATTTATTTTTAAATTTAAGTTGAATTAACAAAATAGGTTGTTGACGACTGTTTCTCTGTACCCCGACCTACTCATAGAGAATTAACCGAAGTTTTCACACAGATAAAGAAAATTTAATTCTTCGAACATGATGTAATTGTTCGGTGTAGTATTAAGTGCTATAAATTGTATACTGTAATGCAGTTGCATATCAATAAACGTGTAAAAATTAAACAAATTCATTGAACACTAACCAATCCTAACACTTCAGTAAAGAGTTAAAGTATAAACCGACTTAACATCTTAACGTGATGATGACAATGTTTACAGACAATGCCACACAATAGTCATTCTGTCACAATGGCACAACACCAAAGTATTCTAATGGAGAAACTCGAAACCTTGTTTGTTAAGGCAATTAACCCTTACACCCCTATGTTACTTTAGTAAACTCTACCATGCATTGATCTGGTTGAGTCCATGATGGTCTAGATCTACAGTGGTGAAAGGGTTAACCAAATAGAACTTGTGCAAGAAAACATGTCCATCAGTGTTATAAAACAAGTGATCTTTATTAAGAGAATTATTCTCTCGACTGTAAACAAGAAATGATTAAAATTCTTACTCTGAGAATCATTATCATGACTGTAGCTGAGTGAGGCTGATCGCAAGTTAGGGGATCGTTCAGCGCGCGCAGCATCACAGGTTTTGTTGGGGTGCCAGTGTTGTTTACAGTGGTAACAGAAATGAGTGTCACAGCCTGGGCGCTCACACCTCAGCTTGGGGCAGCCAGCACAACCTGTCGCTATCACAGCATATCTGAAACAAACCATCAATCTTGGTGATTTTGTTAGATTATAACAGGGGCTTTATTACACACATATCTGAAACAAACCATCAATCTTGGTGATTTTGTTAGATTATAACAGGGGCTTTATTACACGCATATCTGAAACAAACCATCAATCTTGGTGATTTTGTTAGATTATAACAGGGGCTTTACTACACACATATCTGAAACAAACCATCAATCTTGGTGATTTTGTTAGATTATAACAGGGGCTTTATTACACGCTTATCTGAAACAAAACCGTTCATTCTAGTACATACACTATAAACTATCTTACATATGCAGACCTCGAGACAACTGCACCACCAAGAACCTTGTATGCTTGATCACCTGCTCCCAATGCAAACAACAATATGTTGGGGAAACCAAATGAGAATTCAGATTCTGTATCTCTGAACATATAAGTATCAATGTCCAAGGGGAGGTCATTCCTAAAGCTGTCAATCCTGTTGATTTTGTTAGATTTTAAGAGGGATTTTATTACAATCATGTACCAATACAGGAAAGGGAAATTGTACAAAATAGTTTGTCTCTTATAATAAACACACAGTATGTCTTTCTAATATCCAACATTTTCCTTTAAAAAAAATCTTAAACCATTCACCCCCCTTAAGACACATGTGAACTCTTCCAATTCAAAGGTTGGAATAGTTCATTATGAAATTTCAAGGGGTGAATAAGTTAACCCCAATTTTTGCTATCAATATTATCATCAAAATCTGATACCATAACAAAGGGAAGCAAGAAAATTATCAAAACTTAAAATTGTGAATAAAGTTTAACTCACCCGCAGTCGGGAGCTGGACACCATCTAGTATCAGGGTCGGATACAAGCACTCGACGGACCATGAAGTCCTCATATTTACCCATGAGTGAGTCATTCTGAAGAATCAGTCGAATGTCATTGGGATGGAATTTTTCCGGACACTCGGGACATGATATGTTTATACGACTCTCTGTGATCTCAATCTTCAGGTACGTCTGAAGACAAAGGATGCATGACCTGGAAGGGCAACGTCAAATTGTTAAGGACATAAATATACTTGTTCCTCAATAGTGATTTTGAAGACAGGACATATTAAAAGCCAACCAGAACTCTAAGCTGCAGGCTAACAACCACACCTCCTAAGATACAGGGATAGCGTTCTGTGTTACCCAGCAGACAGATTCCACAAGGAATACACGAGTCAGGCTGTAGTAGTAGAGTTATCAATAGGTTAAAGATCACCATGACAACGTCGGGCTAGTTTTAAATAAAGACACATCTAATGCGTCAAAACTAGTTAACGTAATTTTGTTTAAATCCAGTAAACCCAGCACGATGTTGTCATCTTTACCTATTGACACCTCCTAAGAGTTAAATGTTTGGTTGTTGTGCTACACTTACTCAAACTATTTACTATAAAACATGAATTACATACTAGTTGACAACTGCCTGCGTACTTAGGGATAATCTTAGGGAAACATAGGGCCTTAGGTTTTACAAAATTAAAATTGGTCAATCCTAATTTCAGTTTTCTTCTAATTTAGCATAAAATTATCTATTTTATTTTTATTTTTAATAAAATTGCTGGAAATGGTCCCTTGCTTTCAGCATCAAGGATTTTCCCTGTTTACTAATAAAGTATACAAAGTTTCTTTGAAATCCACACAGTATAGAAGCATTCCTGATAATCTATTGTCCACAAACAGGTCTTTTTATTTACTCACACACAGAATGATAAGTTGCAAGCCTAAATACTAAATCAACTCATTGTTATAAGCAGTTAAAATCTGAACTCAAAATTTATAAGTACCTGTGGTGACAAGTCATGATTTCTGGGAAATCGTCCACTTGTCGCTCCGTAAGACAGAGAGGACACTCCCTGACTGATCCGCCAGTGGATGCAACCTTACAACTGACCGCCTGGGGCTGTGCACTGGATGTGATGGAATGTTGCGTGACGCTATCCCTGTCCGATGGTACGCTCAGACTCATCTCAGATCGACCGGAATCCGAATCAAGACTCACTCTGGATCTGGAACGCCTGCTTCCAGTTGGGTAGAAAATTCTTCGCAGCGAAAATCTTGTACCGGTCTTTCGTCGTTCAGATCCTTTGGAGTTCGCCGAAGAAACAGACACCACCTCAGAATCTCTTTTCTTCATCTTGGAATGGTTGGTCTTTTTCTAGTACAGATCTGAAACACACAAAACCAAACCATAAATGTGTATACACACATATAGATATAGGTTGATATGCTAATAAGTGTTCACCCAAACACAGTGAAATACCTGTATCAGTACTGCAAGTATAGGCACATATAGTTCCTGTAGATATAACACAACCCAGTGATACCTGTAGATATAACACAACCCAGTGATACCTGTAGATATAACACAACCCAGTGATACCTGTAGATATAACACAACCCAGTGATACCTGTAATGTGTCCTACTGATTGTGTAATCAACATGCATCGAGTGTTTATATCACGGCAGCTGCAAAGTACTGCTTTATAGCTGTGCATGGTATACTGGTTTGGTTTATAGCTGTGCATGGTATACTAGTTTGGTTTATTTTGGTTTATAGCTGTGCATGGTATACTGGTTTGGTTTATTTTGATGTTCAATTTAAACTTTGAACTTTGTATTTCGATGGGTTTGTAAAAATAAAGATAATAGTTGTCTAGTGTTCATTTACATTTGAACTTCTTGATAATGCAACAGAATCTTGAAACATGCATTTAACAAGAGGACACTTTGAAATGATCAGCTGTGAAAGTGAAGAAAACTGTGTTCAGTATTTGAACTTTTAAATTACATATCTCAGCATTCAGAACTCCATCTTCTTCATGACACGCCCCTTATATATTTACCGGTCGTTCTATTTACTTTCGTAGTTAAATTATATCCTAGAAATATCCAGGTCAAATTTTATACAGGCAGATGGTTTCCTGGAATTATGCAGGTCAATTTTAAATTTCTTCAAGTAAATAATAGTTTTTTTTTATTCAATCCTCACCAATTTCACTTACAAGTAAATGGCCTTACTGGAATTAGCAAAAAAAAATTTGCAGGTAAATGCTAGTTTTTGTGGATGCATCAAAGTCAATTTACTATGGAAATGGTGACCATTCACCGACACTACATGGTCTTATAACTAATCAATCCTAAACCTGTGACCAGACTCTAACTAAACTGATAAATTGTATTCAGGTGTCATCAACACTGACCTATATATATATACATCTTAATGTAGTGATTATTGTGGTCATATTGGTAGGTTCTATAAAGCATGGCAGCTATAAAAGTGTCAATGTCAATTAGCACATCAAGTAACACATTCGGGCCTGCATAAATAAACATCTGTGTATACTTGTACGCATACATACAGTCTATCTAGGTATATTAATAAAGCTGTATATTATATACCTTCCCTTGATGGCATTCTACCAGAATCTAGCTGCCTATACATGATATATATGGTGTTTCTTGGTATTTATCTGTCTGTATGTGGTTTGCATAATTAATGAGATACAATATAACTAACGATATAGTGTATGATTAACGATATAGTATTATTAACGATACAGTGTTTAATTAATGAGATATCATATAATTAACTAGATATTGAATACTTAACGATAGACAAAGTGTAGTGTATAATTAACTAGATATTGAATACTTAACGATAGACAAAGTGTTAGTGTATAATTAACTAGATATTGAATACTTAACGATAGACCAAGTGTTAACTAGATATTGAATACTTAACGATATACAAAGTGTAGTGTATAATTAACGATATAATAGTGTATAATTAACGATATAATAGTGTATAATTAACAATATAGTGTATAATTAATGATATAGTGTATAATTAACGATATAGTGTATAATTAACGATATAGTTAGGGAATAGTACGCTGTTTTGAGTGGCTATACTGGCGATTAGAACATGAAATTTGGGTTTGAACTTGAGACCATTAGGCCGAGAGTTTAAACCAATTTTCATGTTCTAATCGCCAGTATAGACACGAAAAACAACGTACTATCCCCATTCTAACATACCTTAACAAATATACTACGCTAATATGTTTAGAAACATTGTATTTCCTAGTACAAAAGTACGTAGTTAAGTACTCTGTGACCTGATTTGATGACGTGTCAATCTGCTGCGGACTGACCAATAGGAAAGAAGCTTTCGAAAGTCGGTCATTTGGCCCCACCCATACTGGCGAGCGCTCAATCTGTATGTTGACGAGGCGGAATATTTGGATTGATATTGACCAAGTTCTTACATTTCCATGTCAGTATGCATACCGATCTGTGCTTATCGACAAAATCGGCGATTATTTGTATAGATCACATATGAAATTTTTCATTTGATTTCGAATCTAACTAGATGCCTTCACACGGATGGAACGAACGTTTCAGTAATAAATGGAGGTAAGAACAAGGAATGTGTACTTTTTACTTTTTGATTCATTCAACAAATACATTTCATCAGTCGTTTCTGTTCTGGCCTTCTAGCCTTATCAGCGGGATTTCGCTAAGAGGCGAGCTTGACGCCATATTGTTTTGGTTTGAAACGGGGCAAGGCTTAGGTGCGATGGGAGGAGCTTAATACGATTGATCATGATTCAGTGAATAATTAACTTGAGATATTGTATAATTCATGTCCTCTTTTACAACTTGCTGTACTGGTAATACCTGTGATTTCCAATATTCCTTTTAACACGTGTAATTTAGTTAGTTATACAAATATTATTTCTCAAATTACATTTTTTTTTTCGGTGACAAAAAGGATAACGGTATTTTTAAAAGGATCAAATGTATCATTAACATTCCCTTATACTGTCAGTTTATAAATCTTTATGTTGTCAAATTACAAAAAGCTGAACTTATAATTACATGTGTGTCAGTGGTCAGTATGAATTATCACAACATTATTTTATATTGTCAATTTATACAAAGCTGTACTTATATAAAATTACAATGTCAATGATCAGTACAAAATGTGTCAACACATTTTTTTATATTGTTAATTCATACAAATCTGTACTTATATATAATTTTACAATTCATATATTTCATATAGTCAATTTATACAAAACTGCTACTTATAATTACATGTATGTCGATAGTTAGTATTCCTTTGCTATGGAAACCTTACTGTTGTTAGTATATGAAACTTTTACTTACATGTATGTCACAGGTCTGTATATACAATGAATCGTTATGGACATTGGTATGTAAGTGTATATAAAAATTCTGTAAATTTTGAGGAAAATCACATGGAAATTAATCATTCACTTTTTCTATAAATAAATGTATAGCCTCTTCATGTATAGTACTTCCTTGTAAACCTACTTATATGTACACAGGCCAAACGATTAGGAAATAGTGGTGTGCACCGGAATTACGCACGCCATTCAGGCTTACTCTGTTGAAAACAATGATAGTGAGATAACCAATGATAACGGCTGAGCACCTCATTGGTGTGGCTACCAAACAAGTGCCTTCATCACAGCTGTCTGCAGCCACTGTGTAAACGTGGGCACACACCAGTGGTAAAAATATCACTTCCAAAAATATATTAACACCTACATGCACATCACGACTTAGCTATAGGTAGTAAATGTCTTTAAAATGTACTTGAATATAAGAGTATAATGAGGGCTTTAAATCCTCACAGCAGTTTTTCAAAAGAAAAGTGGATTTACCAATCAATATTTGTTAATCATATGTAAATTTCAGACAAAACTTTGAAGAGGCCTATAAAATTATACTAGTTATGAGCCTTAAGGAATAGTTATGAGCCTTAAGGAATAGTTATGAGCCTTAAGGAATTAAACCTTCTAAGATGGATAGGTAACACATAGGATTTCATAAATTCTGATCAGGAAAAAATACAAATGTACAAAACTACCATTTCCGTACATAAGGCACTTTAAACGAAAAACATTGGTGCTAAAAATACTCTTCCTCTCGTAATGTTAAAACGAGGAAACTAAATAACATATAAAACGAGGAAACTAAATAATATACAAGAGGCCCATGGGCCTAAACGGTCACCTGAGTCTACAGTATTTATTTTTGTTGTTGAAATATGTACCAATTTGAGTAAAAAATAGTATAATGTTAACTTAACTTTGTCAGGACCATGAGCTGATCATTCCTAGACCAATTTTAAGTGAGATCGGCCTATTAGAACTTAGTAGCAAAATAGCGGCCATGGCAGCCAAATTGTATTTCTGATTGACCCGAAAAATAACAACACTTTGTCAGGACCATGAGGCGATCATTCCTACCAACTTTCAGTTCAATCGGTCCAGCAGAACTTGACTTTAAGTTTGAAATAGGTTTTCAAAATGGCGGCCGTGGCGGCCATATTGGATTTCTGATCGACCCGAAAAATAACAACACTTTGTCAGGACCATGAGGCGATCATTCCTACCAACTTTCAGTTCAATCGGTCCAGCAGAACTTGACTTTAAGTTTGAAATAGGTTTTCAAAATGGCGGCCGTGGCGGCCATATTGGATTTCTGATCGACCCGAAAAATAACAACACTTTGTCAGGACCATGAGGCGATCATTCCTACCAACTTTCAGTTCAATCGGCCCAGCAGAACTTGACTTTAAGTTTGAAATGTAAAATGTTAACGGACGACGGACGACGGACGACGGACGACGGACGACGACGGACGAAAACGGATAGCAATAGGTCACTTGAGCTAAAGCTCAGGTGACCTAATAAATAAAAGTTGAAATTATTAGACATGAACTGATTTTAAATATATATATATACAAACTTGTAAATCATCTGCTACAGTGTGTAAACATACAACTAAGACCTGATGTTGAACAGTATACCTCCTGCCAACATATATATATACTGTACTTGAATTAAAGCTTATCATCACCAAGGCATTTAACAGTAAGTCCGCTCACTCCACCTCTCAAACGTCTATGAATCATGAATGTGGGAAAATTACATCAATTACCACAAAATTATCATGAACTAGTTCTTGTATTATTAGGAGCTGAAAACTGGTAATTAATATGATAAGTAACCAGAATTTTGTTTTTGTGAACAAAAACGTATGTTTCCCCTATAAGCCAATAGACAAACTTTGGTATAAAAAATTAACAAAGGGCCACATATCTCTTTATATATTGGGGCACGAGACCCGA